TAACAACACTACCTTCCACAGTCCGTCACGAGGCTGCCGAAGTGTCTTCACTACCTGCCAAACACGAAGGTGAACAATCTCATGTTAATGTGCCATCACTACCTGTCACTGTCAGTCAGGAGGCTGGACACGCACCTGCTGAAGTATCATCACTACCTGCCACCAGACACGAAGGTGTACAGTCTCATGTTGAAGTATCATCAATACCTGCCACCAGACACGAAGGTGTACAGTCTCATGTTGAAGTATCATCAATACCTGCCACCAGACACGAAGGTGTGCAGTCTCATGTTGAAGTTCCATCACTACCTGTCACTGTCAGTCAGGAGGCTGGACACGCACCTGCTGAAATATCATCACTACCTGTCACCAGACACGAAGGTGTACAGTCTCATGTTGAAGTACCATCACTACCTGTCACTTTCAGTCAGGAGGCTGGACACGCACCTGCTGAAGTATCATCACTACCTATCAGACACGAAGGTGTACAGTCTCATGTTGAAGTACCATCGCTCCCTTTCACTTTCAGTCAGGAGGCTGGACACGCACCTGCTGAAGTATCATCACTACCTGTCAGACACGAAGGTGTACAGTATCATGTTGAAGTATCATCACTACCTGCCACCAGACACGAAGGTGTACAGTCTCATGTTGAAGTACCATCGCTCCCTTTCACTGTCAGTCAGGAGGCTGGACACGCACCTGCTGAAGTATCATCACTTCCTGTCAGACACGAAGGTGTACAGAATCATGTTGAAGTATCATCACTACCTGCCACCAGACACGAAGGTGTACAGTCTCATGTTGAAGTACCATCGCTCCCTTTCACTGTCAGTCAGGAGGCTGGACACGCACCTGCTGAAGTATCATCACTACCTGTCAGACACGAAGGTGTACAGTCTCATGTTGAAGTACCATCGCAACCTGTCACTGTCAGTCAGGAGGCTGGACACGCACCTGCTGAAGTATCATCAATACCTGTCACCAGACACGAAGGTGTACAGTCTCATGTTGAAGTACCATCGCAACCTGTCACTGTCAGTCAGGAGGCTGGACACGCACCTGCTGAAGTATCATCACTACCTGCCACCAGACACGAAGGTGTACAGTCTCATGTTGAAGTATCATCAATACCTGCCACCAGACACGAAGGTGTACAGTCTCATGTTGAAGTATCATCAATACCTGCCACCAGACACGAAGGTGTGCAGTCTCATGTTGAAGTTCCATCACTACCTGTCACTGTCAGTCAGGAGGCTGGACACGCACCTGCTGAAATATCATCACTACCTGTCACCAGACACGAAGGTGTACAGTCTCATGTTGAAGTACCATCACTACCTGTCACTTTCAGTCAGGAGGCTGGACACGCACCTGCTGAAGTATCATCACTACCTATCAGACACGAAGGTGTACAGTCTCATGTTGAAGTACCATCGCTCCCTTTCACTTTCAGTCAGGAGGCTGGACACGCACCTGCTGAAGTATCATCACTACCTGTCAGACACGAAGGTGTACAGTATCATGTTGAAGTATCATCACTACCTGCCACCAGACACGAAGGTGTACAGTCTCATGTTGAAGTACCATCGCTCCCTTTCACTGTCAGTCAGGAGGCTGGACACGCACCTGCTGAAGTATCATCACTTCCTGTCAGACACGAAGGTGTACAGAATCATGTTGAAGTATCATCACTACCTGCCACCAGACACGAAGGTGTACAGTCTCATGTTGAAGTACCATCGCTCCCTTTCACTGTCAGTCAGGAGGCTGGACACGCACCTGCTGAAGTATCATCACTACCTGTCAGACACGAAGGTGTACAGTCTCATGTTGAAGTACCATCGCTACCTGTCACTGTCAGTCAGGAGGCTGGACACGCACCTGCTGAAGTACCATCACTACCTGTCACCAGACACGAAGGTGTACAGTCTCATGTTGAAGTACCTTCACTACCTGTCACTGTCAGTCAAGGGGCTGGATACGCACCTGCTGAAGTACCATCACTACCTGTCAGAAACGAAGGTGTACAGTCTCATGTTGAAGTATCATCACTACCTGTCACTGTCAGTCAGGAGGCTGGACACGCACCTGCTGAAGTATCATCACTACCTGTCAGACACGAAGGTGTACAGTATCATGTTGAAGTATCATCACTACCTGTCACTGTCAGTCAGGAGGCTGGACACGCACCTGCTGAAGTATCATCACTACCTGCCACCAGACACGAAGGTGTACAGTATCATGTTGAAGTATCATCACTACCTGTCACTGTCAGTCAGGAGGCTGTACACGCACCTGCTGAAGTACCATCACTACCTGTCACCAGACACGAAGGTGTACAGTCTCATGTTGAAGTACCTTCACTACCTGCCACTGTCAGTCAAGAGGCTGTACACGCACCTGCTGAAGTATCATCACTATCTGCCACCAGACACGAAGGTGTACAGTCTCATGTTGAAGTTCCTTCACTACCTGTCACTGTCAGTCAGGAGGCTGGACACGCACCTGCTGAAGTATCATCACTTCCTGTCAGACACGAAGGTGTACAGTATCATGTTGAAGTATCATCACTACCTGTCAGACAAGAAGGTGTACAGACTCATGTTGAAGTATCATCACTACCTGTCACTGTCAGTCAGGAGGATGTACACGCACCTGCTGAAGTACCATCACTACCTGTCACCAGACACGAAGGTGTACAGTCTCATGTTGAAGTACCTTCACTACCTGTCACTGTCAGTCAAGAGGCTGGATACGCACCTGCTGAAGTACCATCACTACCTGCCACCAGACACGAAGGTGTACAGTCTCATGTTAATGTGCCATCACTACCCGTCACTTTCAGTCAGGAGGCTGGACACGCACCTGCTGAAGTATCATCACTACCTGCCACCAGACACGAAGGTGTACAGTCTCATGTTGAAGTACCATCACTACCCGTCACTTTCAGTCAGGAGGCTGTACACGCACCTGCTGAAGTATCATCACTATCTGCCACCAGACACGAAGGTGTACAGTCTCATGTTGAAGTACCATCACTACCCGTCACTTTCAGTCAGGAGGCTGTACACGCACCTGCTGAAATATCATCACTACCTGTCACCAGACACGAAGGTGTACAGTCTCATGTTGAAGTACCATCACTACCCGTCACTGTCAGTCAGGAGGCTGTACACGCACCTGCTGAAATATCATCACTACCTGCCACCAGACATGAAGGTGTACAGTCTCATGTTGAAGTGGCACCGATACCTGCCAGTCTCGAAGGTGTGCAAAGACCTGTTGAAGTTACGCCCCTTCAAGTCACCAGTCACGAGGCCGCGCAAGCACTTTTTGAAGTCGGCACCTACCAGGGTGTTCATGCACCTGGTGGAGTTACTCCCCTACCAGTCGCCAATCACGAGGCTCCACCAGCTTCTTCTACACATCAATTTGTTGCAAGTAGTAAGGTGCCTCAGATGCATGTTGAGATCACATCTCTTCCTATGGCTAGATACCAGAGTGCAGAATCAATTGTTGAAGTCACCACTCGTTCAAATGAACAGGCTACCCTTGGGCTTTCTGGGCAGCCTGAATCTCATGCATATCCAGACGCATCCAGCATAGTGACAGTGGAATCTGTCGCCGATCAAACAGGCCGACGAGATCACGTGGGAGCATCCGTTAAGCTTGCGCAGTCCATAGAGCCCGGTACCTCACTGTATGTAATCGGCATTCAGAGGTCACCACTGGCTAATGGAACCAACTCCCTCTCCAAAACTACAACATCAGCAACAACAACAATATCAGTTGCGTCACCAACAGCTGCAACATCCACAATAGGGACAACAACTCCCACACCACAAACAGCAGAGCCAACAACATCAGCAACATTAACGGCCGCAGCAATGGGAACAGGGAAAACAACAACAGCAGCATCAACAACAGCTGGGATACAAACTCCAGCAATTACAGCAGCGACAGCAACAACAGCAGGGACAACAACTCCAGCAACAACAACAACAGCAGGAACAACAACTCCAGCACCAACAGAGCCTCCCCCTGCTGTTGAAGCGGCTGAGGCCCCTGATTTTCTTTTAGATATGGACCTCCCGCTGGCCTACTACCTGTTGCAGAGACTCTCTCCGGCTCTTTATCCTCAACAGCAGCAACACTACACCAACACTCACATGTATCCTTCAGCCCAGCTCGCTCAACCTTCAGGAGCTGCACAATCTACATGGAATTTTGAGCCACGGAGAGACACTTATCCCAAGTCACCCATGTTAAACTCAGCAGCATATCGTCCTACAGAAGCGACACGCTCTGCAATGGAGTATTATCAATATAGAGAAGGCTCTCAAATGCCACGTGCGATAGACACAAACGCAGAATACCCAACAGAAGAGACACACTCTGCAATGCACTATCAATATGGAGAAGGATATCCAATGTCACATGTGACAAACTCAAATGCAGAATACCCAACAGAAGCAACGCACTCTGCAATGCACTATCAATATGGAGAAGGATATCCAATGTCACATGTGACAAACTCAAATGCAGAATACCCAACAGAAGCAACACACTCTGCAATGCACTATCAATATGGAGAAGGATATCCAATGTCACATGTGACAAACTCAAATGCAGAATACCCAACAGAAGCAACACACTCTGCAATGCACTATCAATATGGAGAAGGATATCCAATGTCACATGTGACAAACTCAAATGCAGAATACCCAACAGAAGCAACACACTCTGCAATGCACTATCAATATGGAGAAGGATATCCAATGTCATATGTGACAAACTCAAATGCAGAACAACCAACAGAAGCCACACGCTCTGCAATGGAATATTATCAATATAGAGAAGCTTCTGAAATGCCACCCATGATGAATCCAAATGCACAATACCCTAGAGAAGCCACACGCTCGGAAATGCATTATCAACATGGAGAAGGATCCCAAATGCCACACATAATGAACTCTAATGCCAATCAGCCTACAGAAGCTGCACGCTCTGCAACTGACTATTATCAATATAGAGATGTATCTCCAATGCCACCCATGGCAGCTCAACCTTCAGAAGCCTCACAATCTGCAATGCATCATCACTATAGCGACGTGTATACAGTGCCCGCCGTGCACAACTCCATGGGAGATCAACCACCTGCTCAATCTTCAGAAGCATCACAACCTGCCAGGCACCACCAATATAGCGACGTGCATACAATTCCACCAGTGCACAACTCGATGGCAGATCAACCTTTAGCTCAATCTTCAGAAGCCTCACAACCTGCCATGTATCCCCAAAACAGCGACGTGTACACAATGCCCCCCGTGCACAACTCGATGGCAGATCAACATTCACCTCAACCTTCAGAACCCTCACAAGCTGCCATGCATCTCCAAAACGGCGACGTGTTCACAATGCCCCCCGTGCACAACTCGATGGCAGATCAACATTCACCTCAACCTTCAGAAGCATCACAACCTGCCCTGCATCCCCAAAACAGCGACGTGTATACAATTCCACCCGTGCACAACTCGATGGCAGATCAACCCTCAGCCCAACAAACAGAAGCCTCACAAGCTGCCATGTATCCCCAAAACAGCGACGTGTACACAATGCCCCCCGTGCAAAACTCGATTGCAGATCAATTTTCAGGACAACAAACAGAAGCCTCACAACCTGCCATGTATCCCAAAAACAGCGACGTGTACACAATGCCCCCCGTGCACAACTCGATGGCGGATCAACATTCACCTCAACTTTCAGAAGCCACAAAACCTGCAATGCATCACCAATATAGCGACGTGTATACAATGCCACCTGTGCGCAACTCCATGGCGGATCAACCCTCAGCCCAACAAACAGAAGCCCCACAAGCTGCCATGCATCACCAATACAGAGACGTGTACACAATGCCCCCCGTGCACAACTCGATGGCGGATCAACATTCACCTCAACTTTCAGAAGCCACAAAACCTGCAATGCATCACCAATATAGCGACGTGTATACAATGCCACCTGTGCGCAACTCCATGGCAGATCAACCCTCAGCCCAACAAACAGAAGCCTCACAAGCTGCCATGTATCCCCAAAACAGCGACGTGTTCACAATGCCCCCCGTGCACAACTCCATGGCAGATCAACCTTCAGGACAACCTTCAGAAGCCTCCCAATCTGCCACATACAACTCCATGGCACATCAACCTTTACCTCAACCTTCAGAAGCCACAGGATCTGCAATGCATCATCAATATAGCGACGTGTATACAATGCCACCCGTGCACAACTCGATGGCACATCAACCACCTGCTCAGTCTTCAGAAGCATCACAATCTGCAATGCAGTACCAATTTAGAGACGGGTACACAATGCCACCCGTAAACAACTCGAAGTTAGTTCAACCCTCAGCTACACCTACAGGAGCCCCACAATCTGCAATGCAGTATCAGCATAGCGATGTATCTACAATGCCAACCATGCACAACTCAAGGACAGCTCAAGCTTCAGACGCTATACAGTCATCCTGGAATTATACTCCACGTGGAGAAGGGCACCCCTTGTCACCTGTGCTAAGCTCGATGGCAGCCAAGGTACGTCAATATCTATGTGAGGAGTCCGGGTTGTGTTAATATGTCACGCGGTTGTGGGAGACAGAACTCTTTATTTCAACACTGCACCCATCATATTGTTCTACTTCATTATTGATTTCAGTCATTATTGATTTCAGTCATTATTGATTTCCTGGTTAACTGACCATAAACGTTTGACAGTTGTAAATATCAAAACAAACACTGCTTTTACACGTCGAATAAAACATATTCCTTTTAGGACATTATTTAATAACAGGAATAGATTCTAAAAAGTCTATCCATAGATATTAGGCTTTTAGTCTGGTATTTGTATTTGAATCCAGTTTCAGTCAACCAAGAAATATATGTAGACCCTCTATGTATGTCTCGTTAAAAGATGTACGTCATGTGACCTATTTATTGCCAGCTTATAATGTATTTGTAACAATGGCGAGCATATTGCTTTTTAAAAGGATGGGCGTGAATAGCGGGACTCGCTTATCCGAACATTTCGTCTGGATAAACGGTTCTGATCTTATGGAACAGGAATAACAGTGCGAATGTTTTTTACCCAGCACTATTATTTATATCGCCTTTTGTGTCAGTATTTGTTTGTTTATTTATTTATATGTTTCTATATTGATGTTTGAAGATACTGTTGTCACCGAATCGTCACCAATAACAGACTTCAAGGGCATCGATTTATTTGATTCATGTCAAATAATTTTGTTTACACATATTTCTAAAAAATAAACAACATCAAACACGTGTTCATCGTATTGTTGTTTATACATTACTGCCCGAACTTGTTAAAAAACATGTGACATTGTATACATCTATGGATATGTACATTTCGTGTGTGATTAAATAAAATAGAAAACATTCACCTTGCTTTTGCTTATTTTTCTCCTAGCCCGGTATATTTTTTATCTGGTGTGTCATACTAGCCATGTAAGCCCTCTTAAACAATGTTATAAGTAACAAGATTCAAATATATCTAAGGCAGATCACCCTAAAGCTAACTTCTGGTGTTTTACCGAACCATGTGACTTTATGACTGTATGTATTGTAGAAGCATAACAAATAGTTTTTTGTGTAAAAATCGTAGTCTCTTAGATCGTGATGAACCGATTTAAAAGCGGAACACTGGAATCTACACAGCGTCGGCTTATCCGTCATCTGTCAAGACGCCTGTCTTGTAGTTCTGTAAATATACCTCCGTGACTAATGCATTGCATCTCAGAACAATGAATACAGTGTTACGTTCTTCACGGGTGCATCATTTATCAAACGGAAACAGAAATTAATAATGTGATTAATGAATTCTTTTTATGCGGAGAAAGAGTTTTATAGATTTTGGCTTGTCAAGTCGAAAGTTTAATGTTTTTGAAACACGTTCGTGTCTTCTCAGGAGGTGACACAACGCAGCCTAATCGTTTGATTTCTTAATCAAATATTTTCGACTTTGAGATATTTCACTTTTACTTCAAATTGAATTAAATGATGCATTGATAATTGAAAATAAATTCGTAGATGAATATGTTGTCAAAAATATTACTTATAAACCGCAATCATTTAATTGCATGATACACTCAGTATCAACAAAGGCCATGAATGAATGAAATTATGCATATGCATTACATAACTACCTAAGACTAATTATGATTATTTACAAGTTTTATTTTATGACAATTATGGTTACGAGTTCACTTCATGGCATATAATCGACGTATCGTCTTTTCGGAAGTGTTGTCGCCACGTGGGTCTTTTTCACCAATATATCAACCGATTTGGACATATAATATCTTGTTGTTCTTTAACTTTCTTTTTATTTCTAAATTCTAAAAAATAAAATAAATAAATGGTAAAAAATTAAGAAATACGCTTAAAGTTCCCTTACATTTAAAATCGACGTACGTCTTTGCGTATGTGCTCTACCGTTTGTGTTAGTTAAAGTCATGCTTGTATTACAATGCTCTAAGTCGGAATATTATTGGAAGATTTGACAAATATTTACAAGGACACCCTGATAGTGAGAACAAATGGCTTCAAGGTAAATATATCTGTTAAAAAAAAGCATGCATAAAAAATATATTAATTTGTGTATTGTTTGAAACGATTGCAAAATAGAGCATTTTGTATTTTTTACATAAATATTTAAAGCAATGATAATAACTCTCATGCCATGTGATTGTATAATGACCCACTTGAATGTTTGAGCCATGATGTATTTTGAGGTTATCGTTTTCTACAGAACATCGGTGGAGTTTCGGGAATGGCTTCCACGACGACGGGTGGAGCATCTACGCCACAAACAGCTGCACAAGGTATGTTGAACATAATCGGCTAAACGTTTCGATGATCATAAGAAATCTCTGCTAAAGGCAGAGCCCAGTGTACGATTCCGACTACATCCTATTGTAAGCATGGTGTTGTGAGTCACTAGTGATGATAGCTGGCGTTCGCGAAAAGGTGTGGTGAGATGAAATGGGGTTGAACGTCGCGTCCAAGATTATTGCACTTATCTAGCGACGTGCATGCACGTGTGTGTGTGTGTGTGCGTGCGTGCGTGCGTGCGTGCGTGCGTGTGTGTGTGTGTGTGTGTGTGTGTGTGTGTGTGTGTGTGTCTGCTTGTACTAGTCCGGACTGATGCCGATTTATAGTGCTAGCACACTGAGATACCACGCCGCACTTTAACATGAATGCCCCACTCAGACACATTATACTGACTCCGAGCCGACCAGTCCTTGTTTTATCCCCTTAATGCCTAGCGCCAGACAGGGTAACAACAAGTACCATCTTTTAACGTATTTTGGTATGACGCGGTCGGGGATCGAACCCCGGACCTTCCGCTCTCCGGGCGGACGCTCTACCACTAGACCACGGAGGCGGTCTCGTTTGCGAAAAGGTGAGCATAGAAGCATAGAAGCATAGAAGCTATCCTAAGCATCCAATGCAGGTCGTAAGAGGCGACTTAATGTATAACGTATTAATGTAATCCGTCTCGCTGACCTGGTTGATTGTGTGTCATCTGTCCCAGGAGACGTGGATAAAAATTTTTTAATTTTTAATATTTTTTTTTGTTTAACGCCGCACTCAGCAATATTCAATGCTACTGATGTCCAATCACTTGGTTGTCTGGCCCATACTTATCCATATTTGGGTATTGACTCAACTTTGTGAAACATTGTAGACTATTTGCTCGCGCTCGATTGGTGCACACAATTGAATAGTGGCATTGTTTGTTGTTTTTGTTGTTTAACGCCGCACTCAGCAATATTCCAGTTATATGACGGCGGTCTGTAAGTAATCGAGTCTGGTCCAGGAAATCCAGTGATTGACATCATGAGCATCAATTCACACAATTGGGATACGATGACATGCATCAACCAAATCAGCGAGTCTGACCACCAAACCCCGTTAGTCGCCTCTTACGACAAGCATAGTCGCCTTTTACGGCAAGCATGGGTTGCTTAAAGGCCTATTCTACCCGGGTCTTCAAGGGTGGAAAAGTGACATTGGACAACAACAGACATTTTAAGATTTTTACGTCCATGCCCGACCCCTCCGTAGTGTAGTGGCTGGAGCGTCTGCCCTGAGAGCGTACAGGTCGGTGGTTCGTTCCCCTTGCCTCGCCATACCAAAAAGGGATAACAGATTTCACTTATTATTGTTGCAATATATGAGCGCGGAAGGTCGGTGGCTCGATCCCCGGCCGCGTTATACACTGCTGGCGCTTGACATTAAGGGGAACACAACGGACTGGTCAAAAACTATGCATGAGATCTTACACTGCACACGGGGTTCTTAAAATAATAAAATAATAATTTAAGTAACAAGTAACGAGTTATTTTAATTTTTGCTTAGTCATCACAAAAAACATCTTGGTATGTGAGGGCGATTTAGGTTTATTGCTATTCGATATTTATTGACAAGATGTTGTTCGCGATCACCTATTATCATCATTATTTGATGGTGATTCAAATAAACACATGCTCATGCTACAGTGGGAATCGTAACTTCCGTGATTATGGGATGAGTCTTTGTTGTTGTTCTCGCTAAGGGAGGTGATAAGTGAAAAGATGTAGTGTTGTATAATGTGTATAAAAGGAAAAATAAATTATTTGTGCATCGTATCTTATTTCATTTGAACAGTATTGTGATTATGTCGGGTAATTCGCCGAAGTAATTGCATCACCATCAATCTTCTGTTTCCCAGGTAACAATGACACAGAAGCTACATCTGGTCAAGGCATGCTTGCTACAGCTGCTTCGGGACAAGGTACATCAGCCCCAGCCACAGGAGCGGACGTGTCAGTGCCCATCAGTGTGGACAGTCAAGGTGGCAGCGTCAGCTTGGCCACAGCTGGCACTGGTGTCGTCACAGACAATACCCTCAGTCAGGTTTCAGCTGAAGCCTCATTGCCGAGAACAAATTCAGCTCCTCTTCCGGATCCAGTTGTTGACACAACGGTAGCCGCCGATACAACAGCAGCACCAACGGTAGCCGCCGATACCACAGCAGCAGCAACTGTAGCCGCCGATACCACAGCAGCAGCAACTGCAGCTGCCGATACAACAGCAGCACCAACGGTAGCCGCCGATACCACAGCAGCACCAACGGTAGCCGCCGATACCACAGAAGCATCAACTGCAGCTGCCGATACAACAGCAGCAGCAACAGTAGCCGCCGATACCACAGCAGCACCAACGGTAGCCACCGATACCACAGCAGCACCAACTGCAGCTGCCGATACCACAGCAGCAGCAACTGTAGCCGCCGATACCACAGCAGCACCAACTGCAGCTGCCGATACAACAGCAGCAGCAACAGTAGCCGCCGATACCACAGCAGCAGCAACTGTAGCCGCCGATACCACAGCAGCAGCAACTGCAGCCGCCGATACCACAGCAGCAGCAACTGCAGCTGCCGATACAACAGCAGCAGCAACAGTAGCCGCCGGTACCATAGCAGCAGCAACAGTAGCCGCCGATACCACAGCAGCACCAACGGTAGCCGCCGATACCACAGCAGCACCAACGGTAGCCGCCGATACCACAGCAGCACCAACGGTAGCCGCCGACACAACAGCAGCACCAACGGTAGCCGCCGATTCAACAGAAGCATCAACTGTAGCCGCCGATACCACAGCAGCACCAACGATAGCCGCCGATACCACAGTAGCAGCAGCAACAACAACAGTAGTAGCCGATACCACAGTAGCCGCTAAAACTACAGTAGTCGCTGCGTCTACAGTTGACGTTTCAGTTGAAGCGTCGGCACCACGGCCAAATTCGGCTCCCCTTCCAGACCCAGTAGTTGATGTTACCGCAGCACCTACGGCAGATGCCGACACAACAGCAGCAACAGTAGCCGCTGATACCACAGCAGCACCAACAGTAGCCGCCGATACAACAGCAGCAGCAACAGTAGCTGCCGATACAACAGCAGCAGCAACTGCAGCCGCCGATACAACAGCAGCACCAACGGTAGCCGCCGATACCACAGCAGCAGCAACTGCAGCCGCCGATACCACAGCAGCCCCAACAGTAGCCGCCGATACCACAGCAGCACCAACAGTAGCCGCCGATACAACAGCAGCAGCAACAGTAGCTGCCGATACAACAGCAGCAGCAACTGCAGCCGCCGATACCACAGCATCACAAACAGTAGCCGCCGATACCACAGCAGCAGCAACTGCAGCCGCTGATACCACAGCAGCCCCAACTGTACCCGCCGATACCACAGCAGCAGCAACTGCAGCCGCCGATACCACAGCAGCCCCAACTGTAGCCGCCGATACAACAGCAGCAGCAACGGTAGCCGCCGATACAACAACAGCAGCAGCGGTAGCCGCCGATACCACAATAGCAGCAACAGTAGCC